TTGCTTTAACTAGACAATTGAAGATAATCTTAATTTAAAATGGGATTGATCTTGCATCGCATACAAGTTAATTTAAAGAAAATGTGCCCATAATGCTACTGAGACACTTAGATCATCAAACGAATTATGTAATGGTACAAGAATGATATGTAGAGATTTTAATAATAACATCATATATGCAGAAATCATGATGGATCAATATACTTCCAAGCATATATTTATCCCCTGAATTTAACTTTTGCCTCTAAGAAATGAAAGATATCCTTTTAAATTTAACTGAAAATAATTTTTAGTATGCTTGAATTTTGCAGAAGGGGAGGCTTGGAGCAATAGTAAAGTGTTCTATGTATGTCACGATCCAAAATTCACTAGTCGTGATGGCACCTAATCTAACCCGCTAGGTAAGCTAATTAACAATTATCTATTTTCATTTAACTTAATAAAACAATTAAACAAAGGAATTATCTAAATTTTATACTTTTCCCAAGGACTGGTATTACAAATCATATGCTTCTAAGAAGGGAGTTTACATAGCTGATATGAAGTAAATACATCTTCTGTTTGAAAAGTACATAAACAGAGTTTTATAGTCTAAGGCTACCATGAACAATAGGCAGCTACAACAGGGACGCAGGTACATCTTCCAATCAAGATTTCGTCGAACACTGCAATATCGACATCTGAAATATGCACGCAATGTGCAAGAAGTGTAGTATGAGTACAATCGACCCCATGTACTCAAAAAAGTAACAAACCTAAACTTAGGCTGAAAGCAATGACGAGCTGGAAAATACGTCGGGTCCAGCACCAATAACCAATAACAGTTCATAACATCGTAGAGCATATATAAATAAGGAAGTAACTCAGAGACAAAATAATTAGCTTTTCACAATTTTTCGAAACAGTTCTGCTTTTCAAGTACATCAGTGAAAATCAAAATCCTTTAACGAAATCATCAAGAATATGAGTAAGTTTAAAAACTATAACTTTTTCCCAAAAACTTTTCATCACGTAAATGTTTCATTTTCAGATAGCATGAAGAAAGTACATATCTATGCCTACATGTCAAGATACAGGTAAAAATCATGAATGTCACCAAAACCTAGCAGCAAAAGCAAATGCATCTCTATGCATATATATCAAGTACGCATGTCAAATGCAATGTCTCTCAGTGATGAACTCATGTACTCACACTCTCAGAGTACTCAACTTCACCGTCTCACATTATCTCTTCCTGTGATCAATACTCAGCATACTTAACACTGTACAATACTCGTTGCGGCGTGCAACTCGATCTCTATATATATATATATATATATATATATATATATAAGGCTCATTGCGGTGTGAAACCGGATTCATATACATATAGCCATAAGGTTCGTTACGGCGTGCAACCCGATCCATATACATATATATAGTCGAATGCGCTCACTAAGGTGTGCAAACTCCGGAGGGGCTCCTTCAGCCCAAGCGCTATATCGTTGCGGTGCACAACCCGATCCCAAAAGTGTAATCAATATAACATGTTGCGTCGTGCAGCCCGATCCCATAATATCACTCTCACTTAGGCCATGGGCCTCACTCAGCCATCAATCCCTCCAATCTCACTCACGGGCTCACAATATCATGAAACTAGCCCGACAATAATGATATGATGTATCAATAAACAACAACTGAGATTGAGATATGATATGAATACATGAATATGATTGAGTACGAAATATCAATAAAATCAGTGAGATGACAGCAAGGAATGACCACTATGGGCCCTAACAATATCAGCATAAAGCATAAACATGATATCTAGCATGATTGACAGCTCAGTTACTTAATCACATGGTGAAAATACAGATATCAACAAAATAGGGCCACTATCCAATGCCCTGGACACAACAGAGTCACAATTCACAGGGTGCACGCCCACACACACGTCACCTAGTATGTGTGTCACCTCAACATCAATCGCATATCACGTAATCGGGGTTTCATACCCTCAACATTAAGTTTAGAAGAGTTACTTATCTTAAACAAGCTAATTCTAACGTCGAGCAAGCCAAGCGATTCTCCAAGGATGCCATCACGTGCGTAGCGACCTACGAACGACTCAAAACTAGCCAAAAGCAACTCAAATACATCAGATAAAGCCCAAGGAAACAACTTCAAATGATAAAGATCAAATTTTACATCAAATCTCAAATCCAACCAAAAATTACACCCGGGCCATGCCTCGAAACTCGACAAAACTCACAAAATCCTACAACTCATTCAATTACGAGTCCAACCATACTAGTTTAACTCAAATCCGACTCCAAACCGGTGTTCAAAACTCAAAAATTCATATTATGAAACTTTAGGCCAAAACCCCTAATTTTTCTCTTTCAATTCATCAACCAATTGCTAAAAATGAAGATGGATTCATGGAATATACTCAAAATTGAGTAGAGAACACTTACCCCAATCTTTGTGATGAAATTTGCTCCAAAATTGCCTCAATCTGAGTCTCACATCTCAAAATATAATGAAAGAACAAAACCCTCGATTTTTATAACTCTGCCCAGCACTTTCGCATCTGCAACCTTCGCTTTTGCAGAAAAGGGCTCGCATTTATGAGATAAACCGTTTCTGCGATAGCCATGACCGCATCTGCGGTTACGCTTCTGCGAAAATACCTCCGCACCTGCGGACCTTCACTCCTCAATGAAAATTCGCATCTGCAACGATTGGCTCGCATCTACGGCCATAGAACCTGCACAAACCAGCCGCAGGTGCGGTCATACCAGAACCAAAAATCTTCAGCAATGCAACATTAAATGAAAATGATCTGAAACTCACTCGAGCCACTCGGGACCCCGAACAAATATATCAACAAGTCCCATAACATAATACGGGCCCACTCGAGGCCTCAAAACACACATAACAACATCGAAATGACGAATCACACCTCAATTTGGAATCATTGAACTTTGAAACTTCAACTTCCACAACCGATGTCGAAACCTATCAAATCATGTCCAATTGACCTCAAATTTTGCACACAAGTCACATTTGACGTTACTGACCTGCTCCAACTTTCGGAATTGGAATCCGGCCCCGATATCAAAAAGTTCACTCCCAGTCAAACTTTCCAAAATCCCAACTTTTGCCATTTCAAGCCAAATTCTACCACGGACCTCCAAATCACAATCAGGACGCGTTCCTAAGTCCAAAATCACCCAACGAAGCTAACGGAACTATCAAAAATCCAATCCGAAGTCAAATACTAAAAAGTCAAACTTGGTCAAACCTTTCCAATTTGAAGCTTCTAGCTGGGAATCATTCTTCTAAATCAATTCTGAATAACCTGAAAATCAAAACCGACGATTCACATAAGTCATAATACATCATACGGAGCTACTGATGCCCTCAAACAATCGAGCGAAGTGCAAATGCTCAAAACGACTGGTCGGGTCGTTACACTGTATAACCTATAAGTCACGGATTCAGGCCGTGAAAGCAGCCATTAATACTTACATTAGGTTAGTTATGTACATCACACTCCTTGGGTATGTCCCTTCTCCAGACTATGCGTGAATGAGGGATGTTTTGTATACTGAACTAGCCTTTTTTATGATTATGTTTTGTAATGACAATGATAAAGGACAAGGGCAAACAATCCAAATATTGGATTATATTTGCTGCAATATATTTTCTTGTACGGATAACTATATGGTGCACTTTCAAGAGGAATATCAATATCGACGAAAAAAGTTCTAGTTATTATGGAGCAACCAAACTGTTAGAAGGAAACATACACATACAATAACATTTACAAAGAATTTTTTCATAAAATATCACCACATTGCATATTTCTAAATTATAAGTAGATAGTCATATTATCTAACTAACATGATAAAACCAATCATTTTTGCAGGTTCAAATAATGATGTCTAATCACTTTGAATTTACGTATTATACCAATACGTACTATTATTAACGTGCAACACATGTTCGTAGAAATTAGTTCCTTAAATATACATGTATCGACTCAAGCTCAAAGAATCCTACAATAATTGTAGAATGCACTTTTACAAGTGAAGTTATATCTCAAATCTTAGCTTGTAGGCATATGTAGTATCCTCTCCTGTGTTATACTTAAGTATTCTTTTTCTTTTTTTTTTTTCATTTGGTTTATTCATTCAAATTCCCCAAATCTAACAAATTGAAATCCTTGATCTACCTTTGTCATTGTAAGATTTTATATAATTAAAACTATATAGCATAATTCAATGATTTCAGTATTTTTGATATGGAGTATAGGTATATATGTTAAAAATCACTAAAACTGCAAGAAAAAATAATAATTTTAACCTATAATTTTTAATTGGTAATGGATTCATGGTAAAAGCCTAAAGGTTGAACCCGTAAAATATAAATTCTAGATTTATCACTTTGAAATAGTGCACCCATCTTCTTAGAATCTCGAATTCGCGTCTGGTCAATCATAATCTTTTTCATTAATGATAATAATTAGAACAAAAAACGTAGGCGTAATATATAGATCGGAAGTCAAACATAGGAAGAGGTGCCTATGGTTCGGGGCGAAACGAGTAACGAAAAAATGAATAAATTATCCGGTCCGATCCATATTTAATACGGATAAAAAATGGTTAACCGGCGGATAATATGGGTAACCATATTTGTCCATGACTTCTTGCATATGATCAATTTTGAGAGAATTCTTAGTCTCTAATTTGAGGAACACCAATTTGAGGCTTTACAGATGTAAAAGTTAGACCCATTAAGTATCTATTGGTTAACTATTTTCTAAATGGATAATATAATTCTTATCTATATTTGACCCGTTTTAAAAAAAAAAATATTATCTAACTCATTTTTTAATAAATAAAATGGATGATTAAATATATATATTTTAACCATTTTGCCACCCGATGTACCTTAGAAGTGGAATTAGAATATGAGCAAACAGTGTATTTCCAGTCATATGAATATATTTAACTCTTCTTTTTTAACCCCTCTCATAACCCAGAACAGGCCGATTTCAATGGCTGGAATACATAGACACCTCTTAACTTTTTAGTAAAAATTGTTTAGACGCCTCAACTAGGACCATGACCTATCTACCGCTCGATTGAAGTTTGCAGCATAGCAGAGTTGTGGATTTAGTATGCAGATTAGTTAAAACAGGGTAAGATGGCAAAATGCTCAAACACTTGAGAAAAGAGGTATGTGAAGTGTTTCTGTTACAACAGTCAATATGTGAAGTCTTTATTAAAAACGTATTGCAATACCACATGCCCTTGAAATTAGATAAGTGTGTTTAACTCAGCTAAATGTTGGTAGGGAAATTGGAATAGATTTGTCTAAAATTAAGAGTAACAAATTGGATTGGATCATTCATCTCAACTTTCCCTGTGGAATCATAGATTAGTGTGTTTAACTCAACGCATGAGTTTATTAGTTAAAAACCATAGAATTCTGTATTAATTTTGTCCTCAACCTATGCTTCTTAGTTTACAGTTTCTTTCCTTCTTTATAAGCTCTCAGTTTTCTTTAAGTAATTATTATGTTCTTAGGTAAGTGGCCTACTGTGATCGTGCTAGAAATAATAAAATGAGAATTATGAAGACAAGTTAATCAAGTTGTCACTTTTCACTAAGTGTCTTGCTTCAAGAAGGGGATCTTATCGCGACGTGTAAGAGTTGTCGCTGTGTGAAAAGGAAATCATGTGTTCTAGCCGTGCAAAGTGCAAACAACATCTTGCAAAAATGCAAAGTAAGGTTTTGAACAATAGACCAAATGTGTTCGGCCCCTCTCTAGACCCCACACATAGTGGGAGGTTAGTGCACCGGGCTGCCCTTATTTTTATATATCTTGTTTCAAAATTTCTTAACTGATCATGGGATGTTTGGAAATATAACCTTTCTTTATTAATTTAGATGCTATGTTCTAGCATCACTCTGGTGTGTTTGTCTGGCTCTTTCTCTAGGTTGGGCATAAGTGTGTGTGCTTCTAGCTTGTAAAATGTAAAATCAAAAGCTGATAACAGGAGAATCTTAGTAGTCCAGTTGATTGGCTACTTGAATTTTCACCTTGTTGGTGGGGGTTCGATTCCCCTCCTTGCAATATCTTCCCCCATTTCCCCTTCCCCTCCTGCTATGCACAATGAAAAAAATGATAACAATAACTATATAAGAGCTGTAACATTACCGAGATATGGTGTGTTTCTCACGTAGAAAGATGACCATTGTGTCGTTTCTTCTTGACTTATTAGTGATGATATCTTTTTGATTCCCTCTTCAATTCAGTTCTAGGAATTGGGTCTTATGTGAACAACACATACTGAAGAAGATGAGTGAGTCTAAGAATTGGTTGGTTAGTAGAAATCATGATCTAAGGAAGCAAGGATCAAATGAGGGATTTTTTCAAACATGTAAACTTGAGAAATTAGCTGTACTAAAATTTGTTGCCGCTGGTATGTTCAACTTGTGTGATTTCAGATTCAGCAATCCATTTATGTCATGTGACTTCAGATTGAAATACTATTGGGAATTCCCTTTCCAGTAAGTCCAGTAGTACTCTTGTCACCTGACGCGTTTGGGTACAGTAACGTATAAGGCATCTGTATAGGTCCTTTTCGGTTCTTCAATGTATTGTCGTTGTTCCTATCCATTATTCTGTTCTCGATTTCTACCAGTTTGTCATGGAATCCCTCAAATGCATGTCGTGGTTTACTATCAGAAGTCCATTCAGGAGCATCTCTTTGTCCAAGATAAATCTCATCTGAAGAATGCATGGATAACATCTCTATCAAAGAGATGCCAAGAAGAGTTTGGAACTGGGCTGTGATGGTCTTTAGGTAGGCTCGCTCATGGTTTGACTCAAGCTCAACATACTCAGGAGTGCCTGGCATTGGCATAAAGCGCCGGCTTACGGTTGGGCGATTTGGGAGATAACCAGCATAAGGATATTGCCCAAAATTAACTGCTGCATGAAGAGCAGAAGCCACCCATATGATTATGGTGCATGTTTGGACAAGCTCAGCTCTTGTCTGCATCTGAGGCCACCATGGTTCATCTTTCAAGTCACCATGACCCACGTTGCGAACTTCTGTCCACCATGATTGAAGTTCAGGATCATCTTGGATCATTTCATCCGCTATGTAATAGAATGAGCAATACTCTTCCACCCAGGTTTCAATTGCTGACCAAATCTCAAGTCCATCAACGGCGTAAGGATAATCCTCTATCAGAAGTCTAAGGCCATGAGGCTGGCTTGGGTCTGGTACTGCAACTCCTCTATAAATTAAAAATAATTGAGAGCATTACTTGGACAAGATGGATATGACATTGAATTTTAAGCTGTAACAACTAGTGGCCTACCTCTTAAGTAGATCTGCAGGGAGTGCCTGCTCAGTGAACACCCAATTCTTATAGATGGAAGAAGACATTTCCATGGCATACTTGGATGGAAATACTGTCAACTCAAGTATTCCACCTGCATTAATGAGGATCTGCCGAGCCAAAGCATTGATGTTCATTGTATCACGGAAGTGGGGATGTAGAAGCTTATAGATTGGATGAAGCACACTCAATTGTCTGTTTGTTGCTATAATAAATGGCTCTAAAGCTGCATGGGTATTCAACCTGCAAAGTATGTAACAAAATTAATGTAGTGACTTCAAGAGGTGACCTGCTTCTATAGTTTCTACCTTTTCATCTGCTTTGTTAAGTAGCTCACCAGTGACTGACGAGCTGATGATACCCAGAATCATTTACAGCAACATAGGCTTTAGCCAGATGCCAGACATAGCCTTCAGCACTCTCATCATTACATGGGGTAAATACTTGACTGCTGGAACCATGTTTATCTCCTTGTGGGTGTGGTAAGCTCAGTTCGATTGCAAGTGGCTTCAATGTTCCATCATCTTGGAGTAAAAGGAGGGTCCGACTAGCATAGATCTTATTGGATGTTGAGTTAATCCGATTAAGATAAGGCATAAGCCCGTCATGATAATCTAAGATGAATAGCCTGTTATACTTTATTGCCTGTGACCACAAAAGATAAATGTGTAAAATATATAGAATCTAAAATGGAAACAGATGAATAGTTTCCATATACAAAGGATGCCTTGGTTTTCTCTTCCTTTCTTTATGATAAATCACCAGAAAAAAGTTGGTCCTCAGAAAAAGAAAAAAAAAACAGAAAAAGAAATGAAGAATGAGTATTACATCATCCACAGTTAGTCCATCCATGTATTTCTCAATCTGCTCTCTTGTGATTTTACTAGTTTGGTTGCCATATACTTCAGGATTTAGCTTGCTTGTGGGTGGAAATTCCTGATAGGCATTTAGTCTTTTAGTATCTGCATTCAAAGAGTACAAAAACACATAGAAAAGATAAAAAAATTCGTAATTGATATTACCTGGAGACGCTGGATAATCACAGGATTGACTCCAGCCAGCATTTCACGTCCAAACTCTTCATCTGTCCTCCATGCAGAGTTATCTTCTGTATTTTTTTTTTTTTTGGGAAAGGGTTCACAATTAATTTACTTTTTCACCTTAGGAAGTACTCAGAGGCTAAAGTAGTTGTGGAGCCAGAGAAAGAGAACACATAAGCACCTTTAATTACATGAGGAATTGGAAATTTATGAAGTTGTCCTTTAAGCATCTCCCATGGCATGCTTTCCGTGGAGTTATCAGGAACTCGACCTTTATAGACTTTTTGTACATGTTTGAAGCTGTTAAACTCATTAAAAGGTTTGGCTAACAGAGATGCAAGCTGTGGAATTATGACCCGACCCATTGATTTGGCACCATATCGAAGGAAATCCATAAATTTCACATGGTTGAAACGTTCATCTCGTGGAACATAAATGTTCAAACTCAGAAGTGGAAGCCGGCTCTCTAAGCTAGAATCTGTAACAGCAAACTTAACTCTTTCAACATGTTCTATTAGTGGTTCTAAGACAACACCTGGAAATATGATGACATTAATATGTTTGCAGCCTAACCTCTTTTAGTCAGTGGACGGCCCGTTCTTCCCCTTCGGGGGTATGGATAATCCTTTCCCCCACCAAGCACTGGTCGACCATGTCCTAAATCATTGTAGACTGCATAGTCGTAAACCCTGTCCCATTCCTCGAGTTTGCCAGAACCTGTACCCTGAAGATTAATGAGCTCCTCATTCCTGTATGGCCGAAGGGGTTCTGGTGTGTTGCATGGCAGGTATGTCTGATAACACCAAAAATTAGAGATTCAGTCTCTATCATGATCCATAAGTTTGAATTAAATCCTGTACGCACGACTTGGTTAAGATTTAGTATGTCAGTGTAGGTATAATGTGAGATTAGAGAACTTCAACTAGTTTGGATTGAGGAATAGTTGATTGATTGATATGACAGTCTTATTTTCATCTATATAAAAACTCTAGGTTTACATAGCCTTCTATCCTGTCATACTTTAGGACTGTCATCATAATCCTGTAAGTCAGGAAGTTCAGAACTATTTTGAAGAGGAACATATCTTATTTAACTTGAAAATGTATTTTTTTTTTTTTTTGTGTATCTGGGAAT